CTGTGAGCATTAGGTACTCTGGCTTTTAAGGGCCCTTCTTCCTTACAAACTTTGAAAATTGTATTTTCTAACTGTGTTGGCATAAATATAAATATGTTACTATTACATATGAAAACATTTCTTTAACCTAAACATTTTTTCTCCTGTTTTAAAATAAATTAAAATACTTTTGAGAGCCGCTAAAACTACCATGGGCCCTGGGCTCTGTACCGACCATGCCTGATAGACAAGCCAGCCCTGATTTTTCCCTCTGTCCTTCCAGTGTTATTCAGTGCATTCTGGACACTGTTGGCTCCTCTGGCCCTCAGGGTATACACTGCCCTTACACTTCTCCCTTCCTCCAGGTTATCTTTCTCAGCATTGCTTTGGGCAGTTCCCAATATCCCTCTAGTCCTGCCCTCATCTTTCTCAATGCAAACCTCCATCTTCATTCCCCATCATTTACCTGATTGAGTCTTATTCCCTTAGCACTACCTTAGGACTATTCTTGGCCTGGTAAGGTGGCATTGAATTTTCTCATAAACTACTTCTCACTAAGGTATTAATGACTAGCTCTGTTCCTCCTCTACTCCTCCTAGGTTAGTCACAGAACTCTAAGTGACTCTATGCCATGATTCAATGCCATGTATCTGATATGAATTTTTACTTCGGCAGAGGAAGTACCCCAAAGTAAAGTTTGAACTTTGAGAATCATTTATATAGTATTGTTCCAGTCACTGGTGCCCACTGCATCTGTGCATTCGGTGGGTCTTGGTGATATGATTCTGATAAGAAACTTCTGCAAGAAGCTTCCAGTCCAGATCCTTTCTCTCTCCCTCCCTCTTCCTCTCTCACCTCTATCTCTGACACAGACTACTTCCAAAATTCTCCTGGTAAACTAGCATACCTAATGGAGTCCTAGAGAAGTCTCTTTTATTCATGATTTGTCTTCCACGACATCCCTAAGGAGACTTCTGTTCTCCATCTTAAGTCATCCATCCGGCTATACTTGGTGGTGACTTTACACAACCAAACATTTGCCTAAACAATTCTTACTCTATCGGTACCTATTATTTTCTGGGTTCAGGCAGGAAAGTGTTCTCAGAGGTAATCCTACTTATAAATAAGGGAACTATGGCCCATAGAAGTAGAAGAACTCATCTAGAATAGCAAAGCAAGTTAATGCCAGAATCAGGACTAGATCCTGGGCCTCCTCAAAACATGGATGTGGGTATCATTTACTGTACAGCACAAGCTCCGCAGTGGGAGTGCCTGCTGTCACTCTATCTCCAAACCTCAGTTTTCTCATCTGTAAAACAGGGGAGGGTGTAGGTAAGAAATACAGTCATGAGCTACATGTCGATGTTTTGGTGAACAGCAGATCATACATATGATGGTGTTCTCATAAGATTATATTGAATTATAAACACAACTTTCGTGATGTGGAAAGAAAAGGGTCTCAACTACAATTTTGAATTTCCTACTGTCTCTGGGTGGTTTAAGCAGACAAGGAAGCTCAGCATCCTGTCCACCTGCCCGCTGCCAGGATAGAGTTAGAGGGAGCAAGAGGAGCGTAGGGGCCTGCTCTCTGTCCTCCCAGTTCAGGTCTCTCCTCTCTCCTCCCCTCTTCCTCTCCCTACCTCCATCTCTGGATCTTGCTCCTCCCTTTCTCCCTTTTATTATTTCTCATCCCAAGCTTTATCTCTCTGGGTCTCTTTTGATCTCTGCTCTCCCTTTCTCTCCCCTTCTCTTCCTTTCCTCTCTTTCTTCTTCCTTCCTTCTGACACCTACTCTCCCTCCCTCTTGTGGTGTCTCCCTCCACAGCCCACTCCTGCCCCTCCCTCTTCACACACTTTATCTTGTATTACATATTACTCTTTGCGCCTTTCTATGTTTAGATACACAAATACTTATAATTATGTCACAGTCTTCTACAGTATTCAGTACAGTAGCATGCTTTAAAGGGGTGCAGTAAACTAGACTATCTAGTTTCGTATTAAGTACACTCTATAATGTTTGCACAATGATGAAATCATCTAACAGCACATTTCTCACAATGTGTCCCTGTCGCTAGGCAATGAATGACTGTAGTCTCAATCTCATAGAGTTGTGAGGATTCTTAGAGTTATGGGAATCAAATGAGATTATCACTACAGAGAGATTTTCCCAATGCCTAGTACACAGCCCTCAATAAATGACTTTGTTGTTGTTGTTGTTGTTATTATCAGTACTACTACAACCATTGCTAATTTTAGAGGTGTAATCACTGCCTCCCTGTTCTGGTGGCTGAGAGAAAGTGCTAGTGCTGCTTCCTAGAGTATGCACTGCACTGCCCAGGGAGGGGCCAGAGCAATGGGAGAATCTGGTGCAACAGGTTTTTTCAAAGGCGTGGAAAATAAATCAAAGGTGATAACCCAAACCTGGAAAAAAAAGAATGTATTCTTTTGTTTGTTCTTTATTAGTTGTGAAAGAACCTTCAAAATGTAACTTACACTGAAGTAAATCAGTGTGGCCAGTCTTGAGGTAATATGGCCAGATCTCTTTGTTCTATGCTCTTTCTGACCCCATGAGGACAGACCCTGAATGTGGTGATGGCTGACAGTGTTCTGTGAAGATGTCACCCACATCAGTGAGTAGGCAAGATTAGGAGTCCAGAAACACAGAGAGGCTCAGAGAAGGGAGTGGGGAGCTGCACACTCAGGTGTAAGTTATACCCTACCCCTTGCTGCAAATTGCTCATCACCAAATGTGAAGTCATGTGGGACTTAGTTGAGAGTCTTGGTTGAAAATAACAGAAGCCCAACTCACATTAGCTTAAGCAAAAAGGAAAATTTTCTCTAAAGATTACAGAGTATTATATCAAGGAAGATAAGGAGAGATGCAGAGCTGACCTGAGATTGAATCAGGCCCTCAAATGCTATCAAAACTTGTGTCTCTCCTCCATGCTTCATTCTCCTCTTGCTACAGACTTACTTTCTGGCTCTGTTTGACATAATGAAACAACATCTCACATGTTTTGTAAATCACTGTGCAGCCACCTGAAGAGAGCCTGGTTCCCTTTTCTCCAGTTCCAGAATGACCATGGAAGGAACTGATTGGCTAAAGGAGCTTGAGTCGGGCTCCTTTCTCTGATGACCAGTTAGTAATGGTAAAAGACAAAAACCAGTTATACCACCATAGCACGTCACCATAACTGTATACCACCTGTGATTGGGCAAAATCACAGATAAAGTACTATTGAAACAGACATTTAGCTCTGTGCTGCATCCTGGCCACCCCCAGATTCTTCACCATTTTACCAGAGACCCAGGATGTCTCTGTACTCACTTCTCCTGCCCCTTCTCACTGGGCAAACCATAGCCCTGAACAAGCCCATTGCAGCATAATATAGTGGGAATGACACAGGCTTTAGACCTACGCAGACCATACATTAAAGCCCAGGTTGAACACTCCCTAACTGTGTGACACTGGGTAAGTTATGTGGCCACTCCGAGCCCTGGTGTCCTTATCCATAAAATAATGCACACCTGATGGGGCTGTTGCAAAGATGAAGGAAAGTAACCATATTTAAAATACGTGGCATATAATGACCACTCAATTACATTTTCTTTATTAGGTTAATTAGAAATCTTGAGGAGGGTGGTAGTAAGTGAAAATGAAGGAAAAAAATGATAGAACTTTCTATCTGGGAGGGATCCTTTAGCCTCATGTGTTTTACAGTTATCCTGAGCAAACATTAAATATTTTAGTAGGTCAGCTGCACTGCAAAATCCACACATTGCTAGATGTTGTCTCTCACTTTAGAGGCAAATCGACAGGGATCTCAAGATCAATGATGAACATTTATGTTTCTTTTTTCATTTATTGGTGTGACTGTGTGGTTGTTGTAACTTAAACTTTTCTCTAGAATTTCTGAAGTTTATGTCATACAATGTAATGATTGAGTTAGTGAATGAAATACTTTAGCATTCCATTGTTACTGTTGTTATTTACAGAAACCTTCCCCTTTGAAAATATAGTGAGCCATAATTTTCATTGAAACTACAGTTTATTGAGTTCGTACTATAGCAAGCACTGTGCTGAACTTTTATATGCATTATCTCATTTCTTCCTATGTGTTAAGTGCTACTGTTTCCATTTCCTGGATAAGAAATTGAGACTCAGCTAAGTCAAGTGCCATGGTCACTTAGCACTCAGTGACACAATTGGAATTTACTCAGCTTTCTCAGCTCCCAAAGCCTGCGTTCTGTAGAACTTTACGGTGCTGCCTCTCTACACCTCGACTGTGGTTACCAGATTCAGAGCCAGGCAACCGAAGAAATGAATCCCCAGGAAAATCTGTGCTCACAGGGTCTCATTCGCTAAATAGTAAAACCTTGGTTTCTGTGCACACACACAGAGTTGCTGCATGGGCCTGAAAGCAAAGCCACAGAATTATAGGAGGAAAAATAGATGAATAGCAGATAACATATCTCTGTGGACACAATAATAATTCTAAGTATTTATTGAGAGGATAATAGTAATGAAAGGGTTGAGTCTGTGAAGAAAAAAAAACGCAGCTGGAAATTGTGTCCCAGCTTTGGACTGTTCAGTGTTTTCCATCTGGGTCAAAGTCGACCTTCCGCCAGTCATCTGTAGCTGTGTGGGGCTGTGTGTGCGCACATGTGGGGTGTTTTGGCCTGCAGCTGAAAACAGCAACACCACTTTGGTGATTAATTGTAGATATTATCAATAACTCATGATGATATATAAAGGATTCCTCATCCATTGGCCTGTGTAGTAACCACAGGAGCCTCAGTGATGTCTAGTCACTCATTGATCTTCTCCTCCAGAAACATTTTGTTTTGTTCTGTTTGGGCCACTGTGAGTTCTCTTATATTTCTGACTCTTCTTCATTTGTACTTTTTAAAAAAAAATTCATCTTGTATGTAAATGGAAGAAATATTTAAATATACCAGTTTTGATTAGAAGCACCTCTGGATTAATATCTCATTTTGTTTTATCTCCCCTCTGTCTTTCAGCTCCAGGGTTCCTTGAAAAGAAAACAGATAGTTAACCTGTCTCCTGTCAACAGCAAGAGGCCCAATGGATTTGTCGACAACTCGTTCCTTGATATCAAAAGAATCCGTGTTGGGGAGAACCTCCCTGTAGGACAAGGGGGCCTCCAAGTAAATAATGGACAAAGTCAGATTATGTCAGCGACCTTGCCCATGAGCCAAGCTACCCTGAGAAAGACTAACAATCTGCCTCCCCATACACATTCTCCTGGCAATGGCATGTTTAACATGGGCTTAAAAGAAGTGAAGAAGGAACCAGGAGAGACTCTGTCTTGCAGTAAGCACATGGATAACCAAATGACCCAGGAGAATATTTTTCCTAACAGGTACGGAGATGACTCTGGAGAGCAACTGATGGATCCTGAACTGCAGGAACTGTTCAATGAACTGACCAACATATCTGTGCCTCCTATGAGTGACCTTGAGCTGGAGAACATGATCAATGCTACCATAAAGCAGGATGATCCATTTAACATTGACTTGGGGCAGCAAAGCCAGAGGAGCACTCCCAGGCCCTCCTTGCCTATGGAGAAGACAGTGATCAAAAGTGAATACTCCCCTGGTCTGACCCAGGGTCCGTCAGGCTCTCCTCAGTTGAGGCCACCATCAACTGGCCCTGTATTCTCCATGGCCAGCTCAGCTCTGTCCACTTCATCCCCAGTTCCTTCAGTCCCTCAGAGCCAGGCTCAGCCTCAGACAGCCTCAGGGGCAAGCCGGGCCCTGCCAAGCTGGCAGGAAGTATCCCATGCCCAACAGCTCAAACAGATAGCTGCCAACCGTCAGCAGCATGCCCGGATGCAGCAGCACCAGCCTACTAACTGGTCAGCCTTGCCCTCTCCTGCTGGGCCATCTCCAGGTCCATTTGGGCAGGAGAAAATCCCAAGCCCTTCTTTTGGTCAGCAGCCATTCAGCCCCCAGACCTCCCCCATGCCTGGGGTAGCCAGTGGCAGCAGCCAGCCGAAAGTCATGGCTAACTACATGTATAAGGCCAGCCCCTCAGCCCAGGGAGGGCACCTGGATGTACTCATGCAGCAGAAGCCTCAGGATCTCAGTCGAAATTTTATTAACAGCTCACACACAGCCATGGAGCCCCGTCTTGGCAACACCAAGCCTTTGTTCCATTTTAACTCAGATCAAGCAAACCAACAGATGCCTTCTGTTTTGCCTTCTCAGAACAAGCCTTCTCTCCTACACTACACGCAGCAGCAGCAGCAGCAGCAGCAGCAGCAGCAGCCGCCACAGAGCTCAATTTCAGCTCAGCAGCAACAACAGCAGCAGCAGCAACAACGACAACAACAGCAGCAGCAGCAGCAGCAACAGCAGCAACAACAGCAGCAGCAGCAGCAGCAGCAGCAGCAGCCACCCCCACCCACCCAACCTCTGTCAAACCAGCCTTTGCTAAGGTCGCCCTTGCCACTTCAGCAAAAGATCCTACTTCAGAAAATGCAGAATCAGCCTATCACGGGACTGGGATACCAAGTCTCCCAACAACACAGACAGGTAAGGGCTCTACTACTCCAAACACAGAGTACCCAGTGAACATCAATCTTGGTCATTATGCTTTAGTTACTATTATGTTTGTGTTGAGACAGGATCAACACCTCAAAGAGAGTAGTGGTTCTGATGGAACTGTGTGAAGGCCTCATGGAGGCATGAGCAAGTATTTCTTTCTAGGGCATTAGTGTCATTGGAATCTGTAGGGATCGAGGGATCTTGAATATTAAGAATGTTTCATGATTGCCCTGGCTGATGTGGCTCAGTTGGTTGGAACATCGTCCTGTAACTGAAAGTTTATGGGTTTGGTTCCTGGTCAGGGCACGTGTCTAGGTTGCTGATTCAGTTCTCGGTCCAGGTCCATATAGGAGACACCCAGTCAATATTTCCCTCTCTCCCTTCATCTGTCCCTTCCCCTCTCTCTGGAAGCAATGAAAAAATGTCCTCAGGTGAGGAATAAAAAAAGAAAAAGTTTCATGATCATTTATGCCATCACTGACAGATCTAGTTGTCAGTCAGATTCTGATGTGTGCAAGTTTGTGCATGGAGTCAAGAAACTGGTTATTAAGTCAACAAGCACTATCTGAGCACCTGCCATGTGCAACATATTGTGATTATGCTGAGTATTGGTATAAGACCACACATGATATTGAGAGTATTTAGTAACCAGTTTACACTCACACCAACCAATTAAAATGTCTGAATGCTGCCCTGGCTGGTGTGGCTCAGGGGATTGAGTGCAGGCCTGCGAGTCAGAAGGTCACTGGTTCAATTCCCAGTCAAGGCACATGCCTGGGTTGCAGACCAGGTCCCCATTAGGGGGCATGCAAGAGGCAACCACACACTGATGTTTCTCTCTCCCTCTTTCTCCATCCCTTCCCCCCTCTCTAAAAATAAATGAATAAAATCTTTTTTAAAATGTCTAAATGTCCAACCTGTCATAATAGATCCTTCTACAACTCCATGTTGGTACTTAGTATCACCCTTAAATAAGCCATAATTCTTGTCTGCAAGTGCAGCCTAAAGAGGGAAATGGGCTTTAAAAACAATCATTTTATGAGTAGAAAGGGTAATGATACGGGAGCACCACAGAGACTGTGAATATTACCTAGCAAATGGAAATCAGGGAAGGCTTCTGGAGAAAGTAATGCCAGTATCAAAATGTTAAAGAATGAAATTGTCATGACTACAAACAACAACAACAAAAATCCATGGTTACTTTATATCCTGCCCTAAATAGTATGAAGAAAGAGCTCTGGGCCTCCAGAGCATACACTAGTGAGTACACTCTAGATCTTAGGGAACTTGAGAGAGGAAACTCTTCCTAGAAGAAAGGAAGGGCAGGAGGGAGCTGAATGCTGCTTTGTGCTTGTAATTTGACAGGTCCACGTTAGTTCCAGGCACAAAGACAGCACATTACATGTCAAAACAGTATGTCAGGACAGTATGATGGTGCAGAGCCTAATTTCAATCCCATTCCTGGAGTAGTTTTCATGATCATGGCCCAAAAAAGAATACCACAGCACCACAGACTGTGGCCAAGCTAACCTTTGCCCTAAATGTGAGAAAATTAGATTAAACTAGGATTCAAGAGCTGTTTACCAAGTTAAAGCTTTCAGCTCTTATTCACTAAAATGTGTTTTTTTATTGTAAATTATGAAGAATGGACTTTGAGTAGAATCATGTGTATATTCTACAATGTGGTTCCATTTTTAACATGGGTAGTTTTGGGATCATTTAAAAATAAACAGTAATGTGGAACTACTTTCCAAGTTATCCATAGCCATTTTGATTTGGATAAGTTTATGTTCAAATTCTTACTGACATCCACTAGGTATGTGACTTCAAGCAAGTTATTGAATTTGTCTAAGCCTCAGTTTCCTAACCTTTAAATTTTGTTAGGAATTTTTTTTCTTAAAACACTAGGATTTTGTGAGAATGAAATAATCTAATTCTCAGCTAAGAGTCTAGAATAAAGTTGGCTGTTACTATGATTGTCAGGGAAATAGGTGTATATGATACCACAATATTTTTTAACAAGTATTAGCATTATGTACAAAAGGCATTAAAAAAGAACTATTATTATTTTTTCTACTGTCTAGCAATATAGTGAGTTGGGAGTGATTTATCATCCCTGGGCCCAGACTTTGGACCATAAAAATGGAAATAATAAATAATGAGGTATTAACAAGAGCTAGTCACTCTATAACTGGCATGACTCCGTCTCCCTTACTTGGGGTATCTCACTTCACACATATGAGGAAAATACTATCATTCTCATCTTGTAGGTGAGGCAGTTGAGGTACAGAGAGGTGAAATAAAATTCCCAAAGACACACAGATAAGTAGCTGAGCCAGGACTGTGGTGGTCTACTTTGAAGGTTGTGCATTCAGCCACTAGGCTATACAGCTAACAGGTAGGATGTGTTCGGAAATGAATGACCACCTATAGATCATTGTGGAATTCTCAAAAGAAATATTTCTTTTAATATTGGACCATATTTTACATAATACACATAGTAGATGAAGTCCTCTTGGGATAGAGAAGTCTTAAAACACTAACCTTCAGAGCTGTTAAAAGAATTAAAAATATCTGTGTAACTATTGACCTTCCTGAGGGTAAGCATGATGGAGCTCACCAAAATAAACAAATTACAACAGGAAATATATCTTTTTGGTGCCTCACCAGCCCTTCTTTGGGAGCCTTCCTGCCACTTCCAGCATCTGTCCTGTTTCCAGCTCTACTGCTCATATAAACTGTATAACATACTGCTGGCCTTTAAGTCACCATCAGTGGGTACTAAAGGCAAAATCAACAAACGTCTTCCAATCCCTTAGATAATGTTTACTTTTCCCAGTGCATATGACCAATATAATGCCAAGACAATTTTCACTTTTTCAAAAAGGCACTTTAAAAAGTGTGAGAGATAGTGGTGGTTTTTCAAGCTAAAGGCATGTTTTTACCTTTAAAATTATATTTTACTGATTATGCTGTTACAGTTGTCCCAAATTTTCCCCCTTTACCCCCATCACCCTCCACTCCCTCATGCAATCCTCACCCCTTTGTTTGTGTCCTTGGGTCATGGTATAAGTTCCTTGGCTATTCCTTTCCCTATACTGTACTTTATATCCCCATGGCTCTTCTGTGACTACCAATTTGTACTTCTTAATCCTCTCACCTCTTCACCCATTTCCCCAAGCCCTGCTCCCATCTGGCAACCATAAGAACACTCTGCATATTCATGATTCTTTCTTTTCTGGGTTGGTTTTTCAGATTCAATTGTTGATAGATATGTGTTTAGTGCATTTTTCCTGTTCCTAGTTTTGATCTGCTCCTTTTTCTTAAATAAGTTCTTATAACACTTCATGTAATAATCGTTTGGTGATGATGAACTCCTTTAGGTTTTTCTTCTCTGGGAAGCTCTTCATCTGCCCTTTGATTCTAAATGATAGCTTTGCTGGGTAGAGCAATCTTGGTTATAGGTCCCTGCTTTTCTTGACTCTGAATATTTCTTGATAATCCCTTCTAGCCTGCAAAGTTTCTTTTGAGAAATCAGCTGACAGTCTTGTGGGAACTCCTTTGTAGGTAACTAACTTCTTTTCTCTTGCTGCTTTTAAGATTCTCTCTTTATATTTAACCTTTGACATTTTAATTATGGTGTGTCTTGGAATAGGTCTCTTTGCATCAATCTCATTTGGGACTCTCTGTGCTTCCTGGACTTGTATGTCTATTTCCTTCACCAAATTAAGGAAGATTTCTTGCACTGTTTTTTCAAATTTCTAATTTCTTGCTCTTTCTCTCTCCTGGCACCCCTTTGATGCAAATGTTGGTATACTTGACAGTTGTTCCTTGCACTATCCTCTTTTTTTTTTATCTTTTTTCCTTCTTGTTATTCTGATTGGTTGTCTCTTGATTCCTTATGTTCCATATCCTTGCTTTGATTCTTGGCTTCATCCATTCTACTGCTGATTCCCTGTAAATTGTTCTTTATTTCCATTAGTATATCCTTCATTTCTGCCTGCATCTTTCTTATGCTGTTATTTTCCTCACTAAGTTCCTTAAGCATCCTTATAAGCAGTGTTTTGAATTGTGCATCTGATAAACTGCTCATATCCATTTTGTTTAGTTCTTTTTTTGGAGTTTTGATCTGTTATTTCATTTGGGCCATGTTTGTCTCCTCATTTTGACAGCTTCCCTGTATTTGTTTCTATGTATATAGGTAGAGCTTCTATGATTACCTGTCTTGATAGTGTGGCCTAATATAGTAGGTCCTAGTAGCATAGCCTAACCTATCACCCAAGCTGGGTACTTGACATGCAACCTTTGTGTGGGCTGAGTACACTTTCCTCTTGAAGTTGAGCCTTCATTGCTGTTGGCAGGTCAATGGGAGGGATTTTCCAGGCCAGTCAGCTGCCAGTACTGGCTGTGACTACTGACCACCAAACTCTACCTTCCGTGGAGGATCAGCTGTGTAGCAGCAGGGTGGTGGTGCTCCAATGCGGTCTGTAGCTATCCACTGGGTACACAGACTCTGGGGTTTCCTGGTTGGTGCAGGACAGGTTTAGCCACTACCTGTGTTCTACCCAGGGCCACACAGCATGAGCTACAAAGCAATCTGCAGACGGCTGCTACTTGTGCTAGGCTTGGAGGTTCCCAGGTGAAGCGAAACTGTGATCCAAAGCTGACTGCTGCTTGTGCCAGGCCTGACACCACTTAGCCAGAGGTATGGTTGCTGGGGACTTGCTGAGGCTGGTTGTTGCTTGTTTGATAGGATTTAGGAAGATTGGAGCCTGAGCTGAGAACAGCCATTCACATGGAAATGCAACTGTTTACAGCTTGAGTGGGCTGTAACTTGGGAGGAGCATTCCCCAAGGCAGAGCAAACCATGTAAGCCAGGTTGATGGAGTCTCAGATATGGCTGACTCTGTAGTTGTGTTGAGGGGGAGGGTTCAGAAAAGGAACAGTGCCCTCTGCCAGCACTTCTGTTTGGGAGAAAGCTGTCCCCC